CCCCTCCTCATGGTCTGGCCTCCTGGACAGAGGGTCAGCGGTAAGCATTGTTTTCCTGGCTTATGGCGCAAAGAAAATTGAATCGCGTGAGGTTACAGAGCCCATCTTGCTTGTCTCCTGGTCAACTTCTGGGCGGTCTTGAAGTAAGTCAGATTAAGATGATCCGACCAGATCTCGAATTTGTCCGAATGTCCCTCCAAATAATGCCTATACTCCTCGAGTGCTCGAATGATAGCAAGCATCTCTTTGTCATATATCTCGTAGTTCCGCTGATGAACATCGAGTGACTTCGAGTAAAAGGCAACTGGATGCCACAACTTGTCAGTTGGGTCCAATTGAGAGAGAACTGCGCCGGTTGCAAAGTCGCTGGCGTCAGTCTCAAGTCTAAATGGGGACGTTGCATCCGGAATTCGGAGGATGGGTGCTGAGGTAAAGGTCTCTTTCAGACCATTAAATGCCTCTTCCTGCGCCACATCCCACACCCATGGTTGATCCTTCTTGGTCAACGTAGTGAGCGGTTTGGCGTACTTGGCAAAGTCCTTGATGAATCTTCGATAGAAGTTTGCAAAGCCTAAGAAAGCTTGGACTTGCTTGACCTTAGTAGGCCGTGGCCACTCGGCTACTCCTGAAAGTTTCTTCGGGTCCATCTCGATATGTCCTTTGGAGATAATCATGCCGAGGTACTCAATGCTGCTTTTTTCAAAGGAGCATTTTTCCGGTTTGGCAAATAGATCGTTCTCCCTCAGCCGCTTCAGGACTTCCTTTGTAAGCTTGCGATGTTCCTTGAGATCATTCGAACAGATGAGAATGTCATCAAGGTAGACTATGACTTTTCCTCCTCGTATGAAATCACCGAGTACGTCATTCATCATTGCTTGGAAAGTTCCTGGTGCGTTGCAGAATCCGAAGTACATGACTGTGGCTTCATATAGCCCTCGATGTGTGATGAAAGCCGTCTTCCATTCGTCACCCTTCCGGATGCGAACATTGTTGTATCCCCATCGCAGATCGATCTTAGTGAATATCGATGCTTGACTGAGTGTATCAATCAAGTCTGCTATGCGGGGGATTGGGTAACGGTTCTTTACAGTTACATCATTGATCTTCCGGTAATCCACAACTAAACGAAGCCCTCCATCATGTTTCTTGACAAAGAAAACAGGAGAGGCTAGCGGGCTTTTGGACTTTCGAATATACCCCTTTCGGAGTTCGTCGTCGATCCACTCGTCGAGAGAATTCCTCTCTTTCGGAGACATCGGGTATAGTTTGGCCGGTCGAGGTAGGGCAGCTCCTTCCTCGAAGTCAATACCATGATCATATGGTTTGCGCTCCGGCATCCGCTCCGATTTCTTTTGTGAGAATACATCCCCGAACTCGTGTAGATATTCAGGGATGAGAGACTTCCACTTAGTGGTGTCCGCATCCTCCTCCTCAACATCCTTGTTCAGAATGCTTGCGACAAATTCTGCCATTTGTAGGTCCTCCGGATCATCTGTCGAGATCCAGTTGATGTATGGATTTTCAGTACACTCCTCTCCTAAGGCGTCCAGTGGAGTGACTAAGGGTTCCTCCCTTGGTAACTGAAGCTCGTCGGTTTCTTCATCAGTCACACGATTAGTTTTACGAGCTTTGGGGGCACAGCTCTCAGGGCACCTGGTGTACCTCCACTCCCCTTTGGCCCAGTTGATCTCGGGATTGTGTTTCCTGAGGTAGGTCATGCCGAGGATCATGTCCTTTCTTCCCAAATCTGCGACTAGCAGTGGGTGTGTCGACTTATGTGATCCTATTTCGACATAGGCTCTAACGGACTTATTTATTTGACCGCTTTTATTGGAGGTCCCGTCTGCGTTATAAACGTTGTACGGGGTTGCCAGCTTATGCGTCACCAGGCTGTTACTTTCAACAACTGACCGATTGATGAACGATGTTGTGGCCCCTGAGTCTACCAAAGCTTCGACCTGCACTTTCTTTCCGTATACCCACAGTGTCACAGGCAGAGTGAATGAATTCTTGTTGCGAGAGATATTTACAAGACTGCTGTGTACACTATCTACATTGATTCCGACGGTGGGTTCCGATTCCTTAAGTACATGTTCGCAGGTAGTCACATGTACTTCTTCCAAAAATCCGAGGTAGCTGCGGTGGGTTTTGTCTTTGCAGACAGCTGGGGTTCATCTTTCCCAGCCAGAGTCGATTCCTCGACGTTCGCAATCTCCTCGATTCTCGCAGTGTTGGCGCTCATGGCTTTCGTGGACAGGGGCGTGTCATCCTCGCTATCTGTAAGCTCG